AGATCAGGAAAATTGAGATAAGTCTTTACTGCAAACAATGCTTGCCATTTTTGTTAGCACTAATGTCATAATCACTTTCATTCCCAGATGGGGCTAAAAGCCGACTTTGAGAGAGAGAGAGAGAGGAAAAAACCAAGAAGATGATAGCCTTATTTTCAAACTTTGAAACCAAAAAAGTTGTTTAGTGCTTGCTGGAACTTTTAATATATATTATATATATGTCAAGGATACCAACTCATGCTAATTTTAAGCAAGAGCATTAGGATTCAAATCACGTGCAAATCATCTCTACGTGTATTTGTGTTCCAATAATATACTACTCATATAAATTATGTTTCAAAAGTTTGAATAATTGGATGGATTCTTCATTCCATGCATTTTGTCTAATATATATATATATATCCGGAAATGACATGAATTGCGGGGATTGGATTATGCTTCACACTTCTACAACTTTTAGGTGAAGGACAATACTGCTACAAGTCTAGAATTTCAAACACATCCAACGGTTACCTTTTTCAGGGAATATACACACACACATATAAAAGACAAGAAAAAAAGACAAAAATTTGATATATTTTGTTTTGATGCATTGGGAGATCCAAGTCCACACTACACAACAATGAAGAAGTAACAACCCACTTAATTACCTTTAAAACCTCCGATCTACTCTTTAGGTCGCATGTATATCACATTAAAAATCCATTTTATCACTATCCTGATATCAACATAATCATTGTATTTTCATATTAGTTTTTACACGAAGACTACTGATTGGGTTTTTAAAAGATTATTATACGACTAAAGAGTTTATAGCTCAATAATAGTGATCTCTTACAATAAGAGGTCACGAGTTTAGATCTTAGTTTTGTTATGAGCCTTAAGTGTATGAGTAAGAAAAAAAAAACTATTATATAAAACCATGCTTATTTACAGTTTAGCCATTATAACTACTAGTGTCATGATTTGTTTTCGTGACCAAAAAAGCATATGTAAACCAACTTTCATCGACATAGACTAAATCCACTACTTTGATCGATCAAATATAGACCATCAATGTTAAGACCAAAAAAAGTTAGTAAGAATTTTATTTATTACGGTCTCAATTAAGGTTTGAAAGATGGTGGTTAGCCATCATGGAAATCTTCTCATGTTAATAATTTTCGTTATTCTTCATGTAAATTAGTACTAACTGATTTTGTCAAGAACTCTCTTCTCAAGCATATTTAATATTGTAGTATTCTGGATGTCCATTTAGCCCAAGCAAGCCTGCCCCTTCGAGTCCAACAGGCCTTCTCCACCGTGAAAAGCTCAAGCTGTGGACTGTAGTAGTTCGTGGGCCTGGTCATAGCAACTGCCTACTTGCATACCGCGAGATCAATGTATTATCATGATACGGAAAGAGTAAGACGGTGGCGCTTGCATTTTCATTCTTGCAAGTTACAAGCTGAAGTGTCCTGACTCCTGACATCAAACCATTCATTAAAATCTCAGCCGGGCTTCACAGTTTTCCTACAAAAATGAATGAATGATCCATGGCATAGAAGAAAATGGAAATTACTCCTTGGAGGAACTTCTCTTCTCGATATTCTCGAGAAGGGAAAATTTCTCTGACGGTGGATTTCCAATTAGATCGGGCTTTAGATTTAATTAGGGAAACAAGCAACGGCTATTCTCTATGCTCTGCAGTTCTTTCAGGCAATTTGATACCATAAAAACGAAGTAGAACCCAGCAAATAATTGCACAGAGCTTATGCATTTCCCCCAAACGGACCATGATTCCATTTTTTGTTGCCAGTCTCAAACTCCATTGCATCACAACCATTAAACTCTATCCAACAGTCTTCCTCTTCCAAAAATTATCACATGTATTAAGTTCCTGCGCTTCAAGGCAATTTAATCGATTGGTTCAGCATGATTAGATAGGTTCACTTCAAATGGATATTAAGAAATAAGAACCTCTATTCCTCAAGCATTCAAGGGACTATGTCTACGTTATAATTCCCAAATTAATTTTTTGATTACATTAGTTCACTCTTATTCTTTACACTTGTGATGCAGAGAACCAGAAAGATGCATCCAAAGTCAACTTAATTTGATCGTGCCCAGAACATGAGGAAAAAGGAAAAAAATTCAACACAGGTAGAAATCCAATCTCACATCGTATGCTGCAAAACTGACTTTCGTACTAATAAAGAGTAGCCATGGCCATTGGAAAATGCTACGTCTGTTTGCATACTAGCTTCCGACAATTATGTAACAAGTATCATCCACAGTGTTCAATTTTGCCAAATTCAAATTCAGTAAAAGATGTGAAATCATAAAATGTCAGTGCCAGTTAGGAACTTATTCCATGAACAAGTTTGAGAGAACCCAAAATATACGAAAATTATTTAAGTGTTTTACATTGGTCTCCAGATAGAGAGTTCCCAATAAAATAATTTCCCACCAACAGCAGCCAGAATGGTCAAACGATCCATATCTCAGTATTTGAAAGCTTTCTGTCATCAGTATCAATGGCAGAACATGCAGAGCAAAGTAAGAACTACAAAACAAACCAGAAATAAAAGAGTAGGAAGTAAATATTAAGTAACTGAATAGAGGAAAAGTAAGTTTATGTATAGAAATAACAAGTAGATCAACATTCAAATTGACAGTCACGTCTACCAAAGATCAGAATAGATAAATATTTGCTATTCTTTCATTCCAGAAACACGACCAAACTGTCACTAGCAATCAACATAATCAAGGCAAGTGTGGATCAATCCCGATTGACATCCATGTAGCTCTTTCCACTGCATTTGTTCTAAGAAGGTATAAAATCACATGTAATATGTCCTACAAACACTTGACTTGTATGAAGTATGAAAGCACTGTTGGCAAATATCATGTCCTACTTTGTTAACAAGTACGAGTACATTAATATCTATACCAATTGCAAAGAAGAATCTGTGCCAATACACGATCACATGTGGTATGTATGTCTTTTAAACACTTTGCTGGTTGAATCATGGATTTGCTTTAAGTTGTTGATTAAATAATTTTAATATTTTACTACCACATTTAAAGTTAAATATGCTTGGTTACACCTCTTGCAGGTATGCATGTTGTCATTCTTTCATGTAATATTATGTTCAAGGGTGACATTTTAGTCTCTCAGAAAATAAAACAAAAAAAAAAGGAAGGAACTCATGGAGAAATGATTGGCAGAGGAAACTGCTCATTAATATTCAAGATGGATATGAGCTAAAATGAGAAACAGAAAAGATTTTGGAAGGGACATGTGCCTGTACTAAACATTACTATACCCAACTTACTTCCAACGGTTTCCCCATATCCAAACTTATTATGGAATAATGTATTGATGTTAGTGACTCCTGAAGGAGGTTTCAAAGGCTTTCTGTCAATGTTTATCCTACTTCTCAATTGCAAAACCAAACAATCCAAAGATAACCGAAAGCTCCCCCTCTTTCCTCCCATGCAAGAGGCTCATCCATATTACATTAGATTAATTTTATCAAACAACATAGGCAGCCCAGTAACTAGAGTCAAGGGTAGGTTGCAATTAGAAATAAGATACATGCTCTGATTCCAAACATATTTATAGGTACCTCTTCGCTTAGCAATTTTTTGCGAGAAAAAAAATCATTAGAATTGATCACAAATTCAACTGAAGCTGGAGGTTCCCAATATAGAAATATTGGAGACTTTACAAGTATCTGATTATCATTGCCCAAAATTACCCCTACCAAAATGTTTCCTGAAGGAAAATGGAGATCAATCAGATCTACACGAGGAAGGGATTTCCTCAATCACACAAAGTAAAATGATTGCCTCCATGTACCAATCTATTCTGGATTTCAAAATTTGAGCATTTGGACTTGGAATGGCATTATTAGTTTGAACTAGATGATCCATCTTGATATGAGCTACCCCAACCTATCAAAATATGAAATTGGGTCTGGGACCTGCCCAAATTCCCATTCATGTTCTGCATGTGATGCACATCCTATATTTGAACCTCAACTTTGCAGAAGCAACACTCACCACTTCACAACCAATCAAATCCCTTGAATCATTGACAAGGCCACTGAAAAATTCAATAATACTGAAAGCTACTCACAAGAAACTAAGCACTTGTATGAACCAATTTCAACACTTAACTATAATGTTTTGAAAGAAAGGCCACATAAATTGCAGAAAACACACACAATACTATTCATGGTTCCAAATTTGATATGCATAATGGTTAATCTCAACCATTTTGAACTAGCTAATCTACTTCGAGCTATCCTAACATATCACATTACCAACTAAGGTCTGGGCGTCCGTCCACATTCCAATTCATGTTAATATTCAACACTTCACAACCAATCAAACCTCATTGATTGATTGACCAACAAAAATGAAACCCATTCCAAATTAGAAGTTAGTCCTCGACTACTAGTTCACTAAAGTGTTGCAAACGTTTTGTGTCAATGGAGACTTTAGATTACATACAGACAAATCAACCAAAACAAAGAATCTAGCAGCACTGATGAGAGGAAAACACAAAAATCCTCCAATAAAACAATCCAGAAACTTCGTGATGAACACATTACATTAAGCTCAAAACCATCAATTACTAACTAACAAAATCACAACCCAAGTCTTATAATAAAAAACAAATCCAAATTCAATAACTCACTGAAAAACTCCCAATTCATTAGTAACCTGTAGAAATTGATAACCAGAAAACCAAAGAGGAAGGCAAGCCCCTAAATCACAATCAAACCCTAGACTCTCCCAATTTTTTCCTAATAATCTGAAATTTTTTACCTCAATATAAACCACCTTAGGTAATCAACATCAAAACTTAATAACCCACAAAAGAAAACCTCAGAAATTTCTCAAAAAAAAAAAAAAACCCAGAAAAAACCACAAACCAAATCCCACAAACTGCAATAAAGACTACAAATTTAAGAAAAACCCACTTACCATAATATTGAAAGAAACAGAGGCTAAGCATTGGCAGTCTTGGGGATGAGAGGGATGGTTCCTTGTTTGTGGGATTGTTTGAGTTTGGCCTCAGCTTCACGGATCTTCTGCATCTGAAGCATTCTCTCCATGACAAGCTCATACTCACACTTCTCATAAACATGGCGCTCGTTCTCACACTTCCATGGAAGAAAGAACTCAGCATGCCTACACTTGTTGAGTGGGATCAGCAAATGGGCGCATTGGTCTCTGTAAGAAATAGGGACCCTTGCCTCCACCATTTCTTCCTGCGTTGATATCATTGGTTTTGATGATCCGGGCACTTCCATCTCTTTATTTTCTTTGATTGATTGATTAGTTGATTGTAGGATTCTGCTCTCCTCTCCGCTCCTCTCCTCTGCTTTTCGTTTCGATTCACTTCGGGGATTGGCTAATGTTTGGTCTCTCTCAGACTTCAGTTCGAACGTTCTGGAGTCTGTAGCAGCAGGAGAATAGTGCTGTGGGCTATTTGGTTGTGGACTGTGGTTTTAGGTGAATTTTCATTGGGCTATTTTGGCCTTCTCCTTTCAGCTTTTCAATTTTGGGCTACTTTGGTCTTCTCCTTTTTGCTTTTCCATTTTGAGAATATATAGGAGAATATAGTTCTTCTCGTTTTCTCTAAATAAAAGTTGGAATTATAATTATAATTATAATACCCTTCGAAAATTGCAATTTTATTTTTTAGTTTTTAATAGATTTTATATTTCCAAAGAACAAATAATTTGCAAACTTAAAATAAAAATATTTCAATTCTTGTGAAATTCTAATAATTTTTACTAGTAAACAAAATGATACTTGATTACACAACTCTATTTCACTCTCAATTTCAAAAGTTTCAAACGCAAAATAGTTATTTTTTGAGATTATAGAATCGAATGGTAAGTTCAGGTAGTAAAGTTGGACAATTTTACAAGATTATAATTTTAAAAATCTTATTAAAAACGGATATAATTATGTTATTGGTTTTTGTGAACTAATTAGACGATTAGTTGGTAGACCAATCGAGATACAAAAAGCTAGTATTATGACTTTTATAAATAATGGTTAACTAATCAAGCCAAAAAAATAAAATAAAATAAAATACAAGTAGTGAGAGGCTTGGGAGAAGGAACAAACAATGCTAGTAAAGTACAACTCAAATTATTGACAAATGAGTGATCAAAGTTCAAATAGATAGAGCTTTAGATATTGTATAGTTTGTGAATAAGAGAGCTTTAAGAGAGAGAGAGAGAGAGAGAGAGAGGCTTTTGTTAGTGTTACAAAATAATATAAAATTATTTCTACATCATTACACAATGACTTAGGCTTTCGAGTTGAGATACTCTTTTGACATGATATTAGAGTTTTGATGACCAAATAACGATCACATATTCGAATCTCACCACTCTTACTTTCTCTTATAATTAAATAATTAAGCACAAATTAGTGGTAGGCTTGTGCAAGTTTAAAATTCAAAAAGCTTTCACTTAAAGATGTACATTAGAAGTAATATAAAAGCATTTATGAAACCCCACCCAATAGTTTAAGATTTTGAGTTGATATAGTCATTTGACAACCTAATAACTTAAGTTTTTAGGTTGAGATGATTCTTTAACAACCGAGAGATAAAAAATTAAAATCTCCTCATAATGATGTGAGATTGGTATTTATAGTGAATTGAAAATGATTTTCGATCGCTAAAATCATGCTACATAATTTATGTTTGGATGATCAAATTTGAATTGAAAAAACTTTTGATCCTTTTGGACTAAATTTCTTCAACTTTCTAGCAAAAGCTAAATAAAATAACAATTAGTTCTTCTTTTAATAGACTCTACTCCAAACCTACCAATCTCATCTCTCTAATACATCTCAAAGACGAAGCATAGATATTGACCCGACTAGAATATCCATATTCATCTTTGCGTGTGCCAAAGCCTTGTGTTAAAAATAAAAAAATAATACTGATTAGTGCATAATAAAATTAACTAAAATTTCAATTAATTTTTATAGAGAAATTGAGTTTATACATTTAAGTCCTTGTACGAACAACCTTGATAGCTAAGGTAGTCGTGCAATAATGTATAAGGAGATAGAAAAAAAAAAACTTGATAATGATTATAGTAGATTTGTTGTGACTCTTTCAAGGCGTAGAAAACAAATACAACATGCAATAGACTTGTTATGAGCCTTCCAATATATAGTAACTACTTGCGGGCTTGCCGTGAGCTTTTTTATTCAACAAGTAATGTAATAATCTAGGTTTACTTAATAAGTTTGAGTCACAAAAGGGCTTGAAAATGACTCTTTGGTGTGAATTTTAATCTTAAAAAAGGCATTTGATGATTCTCTGTCACCACCAAATTATGGACCTTTGAATCAATTTTCTAGATTGGTAAGGGTTGCATCAAATGAACATCTAAATAAAACATTATGATCTATTAACTAAGTAGTATGTGTATATCCTATTATACAGTCCTACTTGGTTTTCCAAACCCAAAAAAATTCATTAAAGGTATTATGAATATTATAAAAATTTCATCTACAAATCAAAATGAGAGAAACAAAATTTTGGATGAATGCTAAAAAAAGGTTAGGTCTTGTTGAAGCACTCTTGGCTCACCATACGATAAATTGAAGAATGATCTTTTTATTAAATTTTTTCATTATTTCAATCATAATATTGAGGGACCATAATAAAATAATAACAACAATTAATTATAATATTGTTGTTTATAAACTAATCAAGATTTTGTCATTGTCACCTCTCAAGTTGCATTAAAAAAGTCTCGTCTATTCTCAAATTGCTGAATAGACATATAGTTAGGAAAATATCGATTTTTTTTAATAGACAAAAGATAAATAATTTTTTAAAAAATTAATTAATTCTTTTCTCAAGACAACAGGAACTAATTTATAATTTACTTATTTTTTTTTGTTAGTGATAGACAACGGTTTAATTTTTTCACTTTAAACAATTAGTGATGGAAATCAAACTAGTTAATGAGGAAGAGATAGAATATTCAGAAACAAAATCAATGTAAAAAAGTAGATTTTTTTTTTTTTGATAGTGTACAAGGTTAATTGGTAAATTGATCCCTAAACTTTTGGCAAAATTCAACTCAATCCCTAACCTTTTGTTTTTCTAATTTTGATACCTCGAGCTATCAAATCAGAGCAATTAACAGAAATTGTATAAAAAATTTTGATTTTCAATTAGGGTGAAAAGCCTAATGGAGTTGGTTAATTGCTTTGACTTGATAACTCAAGATACCAAAATCAGAAAAAAACAAAAAGTTAGGGGTTAAGATGGATTTTACCAAAAATTCAAGAGATCGTTTTACCAGTCAGCCTACATTAACACACACAAAACACACATTATGCGTATGTAAATATTATTTATTTATTTATATATTTTGTAATCCAACATCAAACCTTAGGCATAAACAAGATAGGATCTGAAACTAAACAAACAAAACTTATGACAAAATAACAGATTTCTAATCGTTCATAAAGCATAAACCTTAAAAGGATTAATTGACTAAATTAAAAATAAAAGAATAAAAATGAATAGTTGACATAAATACTGGAGTAACTTGAAGGTTTTGCCTCATAGATATTTGAAATAGCTGGAGTTATCCACGTGCTTGGCACGTGGCGCATCTAATAATTTACAAAGGACAAAAACTTTTTGAATGTCACTTGATGTCCCTCTACTTTTTTTTTTTTTTTTTAAAATCATATTGACCCAGCTATTTGATTTTATCAAATGGAATTCATGATAATTTTTAATTCAAAAGCTATAAATATTCACTTGATATTTTTTTTTGAAACTACGGACGCCTATAAGAACAGTAAATTAAAGTTAAAAAATAAAACGTAAAAGGTAAAAAAATAAGATAAATAGTAAGTATCTTATTGATTGCATTTTGATTGATTTTAATTAACATATTGCAAAGAAAAACAAGACATGAAAAAAACTAACATTGATTAGTTAACATACTGAAGTAAATATGTAGAATACATTGTTAATTAACAAAAAACATTAAAAAGGAAAAACCTATCTAACTTGAATGATAGAACACACTGTTTGTATGACGGTGAGTATAAGAAGAACACCAGCTGCTACAACAGAGATGGAAACCCATGGATTATGGAAATAATTTTGTTTTAAAGTCTGCTTTCCACTTGTGTCTTCGCTTTCTGTGGTATTTATTCAGACTTTCAACTACATCGGAAAAGTAAAAATTGTTGACGTAAATTGGATTTTCCTTAGCAAGATTTTTAAAAAGCCTTGAAACTGCATCACTACCATCAATCCAATTTTCTACGATTCCATTTTTAACAAGTATTTCCACATCCTTAGCGGTGGGGACAAGAAAAGAGAGCATGGTAATATAGTCATTTACATATCCTCTCAAGTAATTGCATTGCTCAAAAGCTTTGAGATTACTGAATAGGATTTCTGTGGAATCTTCTATTTTTAACCGTGGAATTTCTAATTTTCCTTCATTTTCATCAAATTTTATGTCTAAAAAGTTTTTGCTGGCTCTTAACTTAAACCTGATTCCAACTTTACGAAGCTCTGCTGCACTGGGTACCGAAAGAGTTTCAAGTTCTGTTGGCTTTGTCTGCTGAGCTGGCTGCTGACAGATTCTAACAAAATCAACAAAATGATCTACTTTGGAGGAATTGATTTGATCTAAAATGTCTTCCGGCACCCAAGTAGTCCAAACGTTACGTAAGAACACATAAGCAAGCTTAATCACGGAATATTCCTCACCATTGTGTAGTATGTTGGACAGCTTCAGCAAGTCCTCAAGAATGAAGAACGGAAGCTGATTTTCAAGCAAACACAAATCGTACCTTATTTCATTACTCATCCATGGTTTAAAGAATATGCGGTCAATTCTGTCGAAGCAAATACCAGAGGAACATTTAAAGCTGTTCAGTAAGAACATAATGACAAAGGAGCAATCGAGTAGCATCATTTCCACAAATTCCTCCGTACTTAGATTTTCAAACGTTTCTGCATAACAATTACGCAGTCTAGTCTCCCTCTTTTCAATAGCTGCAATAAAATCCTTCAGACGTACCTTGCTCAATTCAAGAAAGTCTCTCAGGTACACCGTCTTATGCACTTCCATTTCTTTTAGCTCTTCTCTGCCATGGTGAAGTGGGCCGATGGAGATTACTTGAGGTGTGTAAGCCTTTTCATTTAACTCACGTAGTGGTTTAGGAACTCTGTAGATGGAACACTTGTCAGAGAAAGGAGGCAAGATTTTCAACTTTTCTTCCACAGACTCTGCTA